AGCATGTCTCAATTCAGACCAGAATTTTTAAATTGCGTCCCAGAGTTTGACGGAAATCCTAATGACTTAAATAGGTTTCTATCAGTGAGTGAAACATTAATTGCAAATTTTTATGATATACGGAACCCACATAATTTCCAAAATATCTATTTGCTAAATTCACTGATCTCGAAATTAAAAGGAAATGCTAAAGTGCTTGTGAATATCCAAAATATCACAAGTTGGGCAGATTTAAAAGACATTCTGACTAGGAATTTTTCTGATCAAAGAGATGAAACTTGTCTAAATCGTGATTTGGTTATGTTGAGGCAAATGCCAAATGAAACGCCTCAAAAATTTTATGATAAGTGTCTTCATATTTTGAATCTGCTATGCAGCCATGTAAACGTACATGAACATTCTGAAGAAGCAAAAGTGTTAAAAAGAAATTTATATCAAGAATTAGCTCTGAAAACATTTTTGTGCGGACTACGAGAGCCCTTGGGTACAACAATTAGATGTATGAAACCCACATCTCTCAGCCAAGCTTTACAATTCGTTATATCTGAAGACAATGTCAGCTATTTCCAAAATTATAACAAAAATTTTGGAAAATCACAAAATGTGCCCCAGAATCAAACTTCCAGGCCAATGCAAAAATGATAAGTCAAAATAGACCTTCATACTTTCAGCCTACTAATTATTCATTCAGTCAGCCGAACACTTCAACATTTCAACCTAGGTTCAATTCGACTTTTCCGACTGGACCTGTAAATTTGCCAAGACCAGTTTATCGTCCTCAGAGATTTCCGACGAATTCTCAAGTTTTTAGACAAACACAGAATAACAGAAACGTTTTCAAACCTAACCCTAACCGTACTTTACCACAAACTACTCCAATGAGTACTTCTACTAGAATTTCTTTCAAACCTGAACATAATTCGACAGCCCAGCAACAACCAAAACCAAATTGGATCGCTGAAGAGCTATTCAATACAGAGACAGAAGATAAACACCTATGAAGTTCCTGGTAACGAATCTTTTGTTTGCGATCAAACTGTAGCTGAACCACAAAATTCAGATACATATTTCACTGATCATATTGCGAGTATTATACACAAGATATTCCTGAAACTGATCACGTAGAACCACCTCAAAATTTTCAGAAGGACTCATTCATAGAACACAAGACCTAGCACCAGAAGTAATTTCACTTAACGCCAGCAATGCTAGCGAACTATCCTACATTCTTTTTCCCGAATATGGAATTAAAATGTTGATCGATTCTGGATCAACTAAGTCATTTATTGATCCCAGTATTGCTCGTAAATTTTTTCCATCAGAGATGATCCATTCGTTGTATCAACTGTTTTTCAAAAATCCGCTCACAAATATAGTGCATCCATCCCGGCATCGAAAATTTTCAATCTTCCTAATCGTATAGATTTGAAGTTTTACCTATTTAAATTTCACAATATTTTCGATGGATTGATTGGATTAGATAATCTAAAATTATTGAGAGCCGATATTAATTTAAGCAAAGGAACTTTACATACGCCCTACGCCAAAATTAGACTAAAATTTCACCAGCTTTCTAACGACTTGAATTTGATAACCGTCGCACCTCGAACCGAACAAGTAATAAAAATCAAAACATCGATCGCCAATGGTGAAATCGTTATTCCTCATCAAAAATTTCATAATTGCGAGATACCTGAATGCCTTACGATAGCAAAAAATAATTTTGCGTTGACAACGATTTTGAATAACACTACTAAGCCTGTTACATTAAATTTTTCTCAGCCGATTTCAGTAGAATCATTTAATTTATCAGAAATGCCAGAAATTGATCTCAATTATTTAGACACGTCAAAAAATTTGACCTAGATTTGTCGAAAATCAGAATTGATCACCTAAATTCTGAAGAGAAATCAGGATACTTCAACTTTGCAGAGAGTTTTCAGACATTTTTTACCAGGACGGAACTCCACTAACATTTACTAATAAAGTCAAACATCAAATAAAAACCAAAAACGAAAGGCCCATTTACACAAAATCGTATCGCTATCCATTTGTTCACAGAGGCGAAGTAAATAGCCAAATACAAAAAATGTTGGATTCCAATATAATACGTCCAAGTAGCTCAGGTTATAATTCACCTATCTGGGTCATTCCAAAGAAGCTAGACGCTTCGGGGAAGCAAAAATGGAGAGTTGTAATTGACTACCGAAGTTTAAATGAACAGACTATTGACGATAAATATCCATTACCCAATATCAACGACTTGCTAGACAAACTTGGCAGATGCCAGTATTTTACTACCCTTGACTTAGCGAGTGGTTTCCATCAAATCGAGAGGATGGAGGAAACAGACATAGAAAAAACCGCCTTTAGTACCGAAAATGGGCATTGGGAGTTTCTCCGGATGCCTTTTGGCCTAAAAAACGCGCCCGCCACATTCCAACGCGTCATGGATAATATTTTAAGGGGATACAAAACGAGAAATGTCTCGTATATCTCGACGACATTATAATTTTTTCTACATCCCTTCAAGAACATATTGAAAATTTAAGGTCAGTTTTCCAACGACTCAGAACTTCAAAATTTAAAATACAGCTCGATAAATCAGAATTCCTTCGTAAAGAAGTAGCTTATCTCGGACATGTAGTCACACCAGACGGCGTTAAGCCAAATCCAGATAAAATTATTGCCATCCAAAAATTTCCGATTCCAAAAACGACTAAGCAGATTAAAAGCTTTCTCGGACTTATTGGTTACTATAGACGTTTTATTAAAGATTTTGCGAAACTCACAAGCCTCTAACTAAATGTCTAAAAAAGGGAGCCAAAATTGAACACGATGCAGAATTTATTGACTGTTTCGAAAAATGTAAAAATGTTCTTATCAATGAACCGATACTCAAGTATCCAGACTTTTCTAAGCCATTTAACTTAACCACGGATGCGAGCAACGTAGCCCTTGGTTGTGTACTTTCACAAGGCCCTATAGGACAGGATCTTCCTATCGCCTATGCTTCGCGCACGCTTAATGATTCCGAACGAAATTATAGTACGATTGAGAAAGAATTACTAGCAATAGTCTGGGCGACTAAATACTTTAGACCCTATCTTTACGGGAGAAAATTCAATCTAATTACTTAAAATACTTATGGTCCCTTCGAGACCCTTCTTCAAAATTACTAAGATGGAAAATCAGGTTAGACGAGTATGATATGAATATCATCTATAAGAAAGGCAAACTGAATACAAATGCAGATGCCCTGTCTCGTGTAGAGATCCATACAAAAGAAACCAGTTCATTTTGGAACGACTTAGATGATTTGATTCAAGAATGCGCAGGTACTCAACACCAAAACGTTAAGTTTGACCGACCAGTTCAGAAAGGCTCATCTGAATTAAGTACACCTACATTTAACTTTTCTACCCCAAAACAACCTGATACCGAATCTATGTTCGTAAACGTCGATAATGACGAAGACAGTCTTTTTATTCAACCCCTGGACGAAATTGTAGATATCATTGAACATGAACAAGTCAATCTAGAATATCAAAATAATCGTCCTGAAAATCCAGACGAAACTGTACATTCAAATGCGGACCAACACCCCATTCAGACAATTCCTATAGTTGATTACGCAGTTAATCAGGGAAATAATCAGATTATCATAAGTACAGTAAAACATTCACCTGCACCACCAAAAATTTCTATTTTATTTGAAAGCAAGCAACGAATTAACGTACAATTTTCAGAAAATGATTTTGACGATGATGTATTTAAATTTATTCGAGATTATATTGCTCCTAACGTCATTTATCACTTATATTAAAATCCAGATATATATGAAAAATTTTCTGTTGTTCTACAAAGGATGTTTAAGTCCGATGCTTTGAAATTCAAAATGTGTAGAACCAAATTAGTCGACGTTACAGATAAAACTGATATCAAGGACATTATCCGGAATTACCACGAAAGCAAGTCGAATCATCGTGGAATTGAGGAAACGCATCAGAGAATAAAAGAAAAATATTTTTGGCCTAACTTGAAAAAATCAATCCAAACATTTATAAATGAATGTGAAATTTGTCAACAATGTAAAATGAGCGTCATCCGATAAAAATTGCGATGAATCTCACCCCCACTGCATCAAAACCTTTTGAAATCGTACATATCGATACTTTCACTTTTGAAGGTTCAAAATTTCTCACAATTATAGACAGTTTTTCTAAATATGCTCAAGCATATCAGATTACTTCGCTTTCAGGAACTGAAATTGCTGATAATCTGATATTATTCTTTTCTCATCATGGAATTCCTACCCGAATTATCGCAGATAATGGTACTGAATTCAAAAATACCGTTGTAACTGAACTTTTGTCACTTCACAAAATTAAGCTTCATTTTATTTCGCCAAATCATCCAGATTCTAATGGAGTCGTTGAACGATTTCATTCAACTATCACCGAACATTTAAGATTGTTGAACACAGAAGGCTTTCAGAAAACCCCTATAAAAATGAAAATGTTGTATGCCGTTTTAGCCTACAACCACACCTTACATTCTGTAACAAAATTAAAGCCTATAGATATAATCAATGGACATATTACGTCGAATGAACCATTCGATATCAAAATCGACCAATTACTCCTCAATGACTATACCAACAGCCACAAAGAGCGTACAAAACTATTGTATTCAAAAATAAATTCTGATCTCATTCAAAACAAAGAGATAACGCTAGAACGCGTTAACAGAGATTGCGATAGTCCGACTATACTTGATAACCGAGAAACAGTATACGTCAAAAAGCATGTTAGAAAAAAGCACGCCAACAAATTCTCAAAGCCGTGTAGACTACAAAGTGTTAATACGGAGAAAAAGACTTTACTCGTTTGACTAAGCCTCGAGCAATTAGATAAGAAACTATGTATGTAATCTACGTTTACTTTACTCTTAATTGCACGCTAAAAATAAGATTTTCTTTCGAATATATTATTTTACAGGTTCCCAGGAATCATAGGAATCCATGGTACGATAACGTTGAAGAATTTAGAAAATAACCTAGGGTTGATACCCATGAAATTAGGGACCGCCAAAATTACAAAAAATTGTCACTCAATACTGTATTTTTACGACGTCAATTTAATAATCACTGAAGTTAATGACCTTAAGAAAAAAACTGAAAATGTTGCGAAATTAACCAGGAAATATATTGAGCACTATAAACACTCAGCAAATTACCTCAATGTTTTGTATTTCTTAGAAAGAAAAGTAGACGGAAAGCTAAATGACATTTTTCCCTCTACTTACGAAACTGTTCCATCATTCTCTGTTAGAATAAAAAGGGGATTAATAAACGGCTTAGGTTCAATTTTCAAAGCAATCACAGGAAACCTGGATGCTTCAGATGGTGAAAAATTCGAGTCTCTAATAAGCGATTTGCAGAATGATCAAAACAAGTTATCAGAAGCTATCAATAGTCAGAATACCTTATCTGTCGAACTTATCGATAATTTCAATAAAACTGTAAGTCAGATTACTCATAACCAAAAGCTATTGGAAGCTAAAATAAATCAGCTTTTAACAGCCATGATTAACACACAAGCCTACATAGAAAATGGCTTTTTCTTGAGAGATACAATCTCAGAGATCATGAATATCTATCATATCATAATTTCAGTACTCCAGGATATATAAAACTCACTTACTTTTGCAAAATTGGGAATTATGCTCCCCAGTGTAATCAAACCAAAACATTTACTTCAAGCACTAAATTCAGTGGGATTAAAACTATCCACAAAGCAACTCCCTTTAGAAGTTACTTTGGATAATATCCCGATTTTTGAAAAGCTCATTAAAATCGGCTGTTATACAGTTGATAGAAAAATAACATATATTCTTCAAATTCCAATTGTTCATACATTCCAATTTGATTATTATCACTTATATTCAATTCCAACCTTTCATAAGGGTCTGTTCAAAGTAGTCATCCCTTCTGGAAAATATCTTGTAAAGAATGAGTTGTACTTCGCTTTTGCGGGAGACGCATGCACGGAAACGGTCACAAAACAGTACGTTTGCAAAGAACTAGATTTAAGAAGAATCAAAGAATCCAATCCCTGTGAAGTTCAACTCCTGGTACAAAAAACTCCCACTACCTGCCGAGAAGTAGAAGCCGTAATCACAGAGCCAGTAATGAAGAAACTGCATGATTTCGGACAATGGATCTTGCTTATATCCAATGAAACCACCATTACATTAAGCTGTCAAGAAGGCCAAGAAACAGTCAAAGTTTTGGGATCCTACTTAGCCGAAATTCCAGTCGGTTGTACACTGGAACTAAATCAAGAGCCTATATCGATTGGAAGTCAGCCAATTATTTTTCCAAATATAGATAGCAATACTACAATGCTACCAAGCCGAATGACTTCAGCCTTCATCTAGACCAAATAGAATTTGATGAAGTTCACAAAGTAAAAAGAAGATTAATAGAAAATCGTGTTGACATCCATTCACATAAGGTGTCGCACATTCCCAGTTCTTGGACAATCCTGTTGTATGGAGTACTGCTGCTGCTACTTTGCTGTTTTGTCTACAAGAAGATCATTCCGAAGATTTTTACTAAGCCGAAGAAACCACAAAGAACCCCTATTGAAGAAGTTGATCTTTCCAATGTGCAACTTCCTCGTTAACCCTCGAAGTTGCATCTACAAGGGGAGGCGTTATAGTACAGAAGATTTACCCCTACCACTAAAGAACAGGATCGAGTTCCCTGGATCAGCGCTTTGCCTTATCCAGTCTTATATTATTGTAAACAGAGTTAGATAGTCTGTTGTTAGCGCTCATACTATATACATCAATAGAATTGTTTTTGATAATCGAGAATAAATCTTTTTAAAAAGCAAGTAGACTGACTCGGTCAGATAATTAGTGGGATACTAGTAAGAGCAGCTTCATTTATAACGTTTGTTAAAAACTCTACCGATACACTGCTGTCCTGAGAAAGTTCCAAGGAGGAAAATTGCTGTTCATATGTATGCCAATCTGCTTTTGGGATGATCCAGTATTGAGGGATTTGTGTATTGGCTTTGTGTGTATCGAGGGTCACCTTGCATGGAAAATGGTCACTGTTATGAAGATCATCTAAGACAGACCAGAGGACACGTCCAGAAACTGTGGATGAACATATAGCCAAATCAATTGCTGAGAAGCTTTGACAACGTGCAGAAAAATGTGTGGGTGAACCATCATTGAGCACTGTAAGGTTATCTCTTTCTAATAGTTCGGAAATTGAGCGCCCTTGACAGTCAGTTCTAGTAGATCCCCATAATGGACTGTGCGCATTGAAGTCTCCTACAAGTAGAACTGGTTTCTTAATAATATTTGCAACACCTCCCATGAGCTCTGCTTTCAGATGAGATATCCTTCCTAATGATGTTATACCTTTTTAGGTTATACGGAAAATTGGGACGTAAGTGAGTCTCTTGCACACGTACGCATGGGGTCATGGTCATGCAATAATATTTTTAGGTCGCAATATTTTTGTACGATACCATTGCAGTTCCAATAAATTATTGATTCCATTGTATGTGTCATGTTTTTTGTTTAAAGTTAAATTATAATGAATAGTGAGTAAATGTTATAAATGCCAAGATAATATAAATATATGCAGTGGTATTGGATATAAATAAAACAAACTGGTAAGTACTGTAATAAGTTAAAGATTATAATTATTTTATTATTACAATTATTATTATTATTATTATTATAATTATTATTATTATTATTATTATTATTGTTATTGTTATTATTATTAATATTGGGGACAAAGGCCTGTGAGTAGCCTCCGCGAGGCAAAAGCTGCCCAGGCAGGTGTATAGCGTAGTACAGACTTATAGTCCATCAGCTTCTGCACCTGCAAGACCGTCCGTGCGTGGTGAAGAACCACATACTGCTAGAGCTGTCCCTGCTTTTAACAGGACATGGCGGATCTAGAGGAGTAAACCTCAAAAAAAAACCGCAATCCCAAGGTATTTGTTGTGCTGAGGGGATGAATGGCACTGAGTTAGTGTGTTCTAAACGGCTGCCTCCGGATACCGGGCGACCTCCGGTTGAAACTAGCCTTGCTATGATAAGCCTGCTCTTTCATAGTCGACCTCCATATCAGAGCCTACTCGTGGGAATAAGATGAAGCATACTCAAAACCAAAACATCCAGGAGGCGCCCGCCCTCCAAAAAACGGGTAGTGCTGGGGGAGCACTTTCCAGTCCTTCAGCAGGCGTGAGGTCGATGGGCGATTGCCCCCGGTTTCTGCTTGTTAAAAGAAAACGATAATTTTTATAAAGTGAGCCCTTTTGTTATATCAAAGACATTATATGGAATTGTTGGTGAAGTAAAGTTAGTGAGAAAGGTTCGAGAAGGTCTCCTTGTTGAAACTAAATCTACACAGCAGACTATGCGACTATTCCCGATAAAAGGTTTGGAGAATTTGATGTGAGTATGGAGGCACACCAGTCCCTCAATACCCGAAAAGGCGTGTGTTTTTTTGCAGAGACTTGCTCAACTGCTCGATTGAGGAGATATTGGATGAACTGAAAGGTGATGGTGTCATACATGTAAGAAGGCTAAAGAGTAAAAGGAATTGAGAACTGGTTGAAACTCCAAATCACGTGCTGATATTTAGGAAAACTGTCTTACCAAAGGAAATCCGCGTTGCGTTCCTTAAGTTAAATGTAAGGCCTTATATTCCACCACCTACCAGGTGTTTCAACTGTCAAGCTTTAGGTCACACAGCTGGAAACTGTCAGAAGGAAAAAATATGTCCATGTGGTAATCCTCCACACGAAGGTCCTTGCCCGGAACCCAAAAAATGCGTAAATTGCGAAGGTCCACATTCAGCAGCTTATATGAATTGTCCAAAACTAAAAGCTGAAGCAGCAATACAGAAAGTAAAGGTAATGGAAAACATAACATATGCAGAAGCAAAAAGAAAAGTAAATATAACCACTCCAAAACCTACTACGTCCTATTCTGCTGCCGTCCAAAAGTCATCAGAAATGAACATTCAGCAGATCATATCAACAATAATTCCTCATATCGAAACTGCAGTTAGAAACGCAATCTCATGTTCTACATCTAAGTGCGACCATTTTAAAGCCCCATCATCAGGGCTAATCTTCCGTAGAGATAGATCTGAAAAAACTATTTATTTTATTTATTATGTACCGTCCATCCCTACATACTATTTATTTTATTTATTTGTTGTGAAAGTATTTTATTTAGATACATTTAAACTCTTAAAATCGCAATGGAATCAATCATACAGTGGAACTGCAATGGAATTGTCCAACGGTACTGTGAGCTTAGGCTGATTTTACAGAATCATGATCCAATGTGCTTATATTCAAGAGAGCCATCTCAGACCAAATCAAACTTACTCTCTTAGAAAATATAACATCTTGAAAAAGATGTCACAGCTATCGAGCGAGCACATGGAGGAGTTGCGATAATTTTACGTGAGGATGTCTGTTTTGAGCCTTTATGTGTAAACTCAGCACTACAAGTTGTTGCAGCTCGAATAACAGTTCTTTAAAGGTAACTGTCTGTAATATATATGTATACCTACCTGATGGAAATTGGCGAATTGGTGACATCGAAAACGTTATATCTCAGCTCCCAGCACCATTCTTGTTCATTGGAGATTTCAATGCGCATAATCTCCTGTGGGGATCAGGACGTTTAGATCACCGAGGAGAATTGATAGGAAACTTACTAGACAGAGAAGATCTGATGTTGCTAAATACAGGAATGTCCACCCATCTGGCTGCTCGTTCCAGATCTTTCTCTGCGATTGATCTAGCGATCAGTTCAACATCCATAGCCGATCGCCTCCAATGGAGAGCTCTAGATGACATGTATCATAGTGATCATTTTCCTTGTATCACGTCCTTTGACATATCTAGAAGTAGTCCCCAAGTGCCACAATACTGGTTGATGTCAAAGGCAAATTGACAGCAATTCGAAGACTACTTATCAATTGTGAGTCCTGTACAAGATAATAACATTGGTATTCATAGTTTTACTCAGCTGATACATCAGGCTGCGGTGAACAGCATTCCGCTTGGTGGTGGATCTCCAAGAGGCCGTCGGTTACCATGGTGTAACTCTGACATATCCGATGCCGTGAGATCAAAAAAGCGTGCACTTAATATTTTTAAGAGGAACTGCACGGTATCAAACATGATATCTTTTAAGAAAGCTAGAGCTAAAGCGCGACGTCTTATTCTAGAAAGCCAGAGAAAATCATGGAAAGAATATGTCTCCACTATTACTACTGAAACGACAGCAAGTGAAGTATGGAATAAAGTCAGAGCCGTGTATGGTAGACAATCAGTTAGGCAAATCACACATCTGCAGACCTGTAACAGCAACATCATTAATAGCACAAATGAGGTGTGTAATTTACTAGCAGATACATTTGCTACCGTCAGCAGCTCGGAAAACTATAGTCGCGAGTTCAGGTCCACCAAAAATGCAACGGAAATACCACTAGACTTTTCAACAGACGTATCTTTAGCGTATAATGAGCCATTCCAACTGTTTGAGCTAGAAGAAGCCTTAAAAAAGACAAATCGATCAGCTCCTGATCCGGATATGGTAAATTATGAGATGATCCGTCATCTTCCTCTCCATGTCAAGCTTACTCTCCTCAACATATACAACAGGATATGTCTTGCAGGAATATACCCAAAAGACTGGAAACTTGCAATCGTCATTCCCATTCTTAAACACGGAAAGGATCCACTCTTGCCTGAAAGTTACAGGCCCATAAGTCTTACTTGCTGTCTCGGAAAAATATTAGAGAGAATGGTAAATGAGCGCCTGTCGTGGTTTCTTGAAAAAAATGGCTTACTTGTTGATTACCAGGCAGGATTTAGAAAAAATATGTCTACAGTGGATCAACTTGTCTATGTAGAGAATGTCATCCAAAATGGGTTTAAAAACCGTCACCATACAGTAGCTATGTGTTTAGACATAGAAAAAGCTTTTGATTTGGTCTTGAGATATGATGTTCTATACCAACTGCACAATTGGGGCTTTAGAGGAAATCTCCCAAAATTTTTGAAATCCTTCCTTACAGACAGGCGTTTGCAAGTACGTGTAGGAAACACTCTTGCAACAGTCCACACCTTGGAAAATGGAATACCACAGGGATCGACACTTAGCTGTACGCTTTT